CTTTGATGCACATGAGACACAATCCAACATAAACCAGCAAGTCAGCAACTTCCCCAGGCAAGAAGATGGAGAAAGACCATCTCTGTATCATCATCCAATCCCTCATATGCCAAAGTTCTTCCTCTCTTAGCTTCTGGAAAAGAAAGATGGGCTCTACAGATGTCCCTAAGGTATTTACTCTAAGGGACAAGGTGAGACCAACCTGCAAGACCCTGACAGAGAGACGGAGCAGCACTTAGATGGAGCAGCCCCAAGGAAAAAGACTTTCTCTCCTCTTTTAACCCACAACCAACCAAACCCTTGCAGCCCACAGGGGCTCCAAGCAGAGATCACTGGGTAGGAAATGCTTCTGGAGCTGCTTCCAGCAGGTTTGAGTCTGCAGCACACCACAGAGCAAAGAGACACTCCAAGACACACACAGGCAGCCTCTGGATCTTGGCACTAAAGCTCTTGGGTCGCTCCTTCACGAGTGGTGATACATCTTCAGCTCTGTGCTTCTTCACAGCAGGGCCAACGTATTGCAAGAGAGCTGCTACAGGAGAGAGGAATAATTCAAGTTTAAGGAAGGAAGGAAAAACATAAGAGATTCACTGCTTCTTCCTGAGGAGAGATAATGAGAGCCATGACAAGCCATAGAGAATGCACTATATTAGGTTGGAAATGCCCTAGAAACCAGAGCCCCATTGCCTGGAATCATTCAGCCTCTTCAGAGCCCTTGTTTCAATGGAAGTGAGGGTTAAAAACTTGCTGAAAACAGGACATAAGAATCCAAATCAAGCTTAGGCATGTTTTCCCCACAATGGGGTGTGAGGGGAAGAGCAAGGTCAATGCCGAGTGGAGTTCAGCCCAGAAGAGACTCTTCCGTAAGCGACTACCTATGGATAAAGCTCTTACCAATGAATTAAAGTAACCAAAATAGCACCAGGGGGAGAGGAGCCAGTGAGACCTGAAGCTCCTGTACGTGTGCATGCCCATAAAGTAGAAATATTTTGTCCCACCTTGTTATTATTTACATCCTATTTGGCCATTTCTATTTATTTAGCATTCCGAGGCACACACGTTTTACGGTGTCATTACTTGATATGTGAGCCCTAAAATCAGAAGGGAGCAAGAAATATTCCAAATCTAAGCAATGTCTAGAAATGTGGGACATTATTGTGAGTTGTTTAACTCAAGCTGCATTTCGCCTTGGAATGATTGTGGTTTAGCACTGAACACAGCAATGATTTCCTGGCTAACTGACATAATTCAACCTGAAATCTTGCAGAGATGAAGGATACAGCAGCCTAAAGGTGGATCATATACACAGGCACTCTGTGTGCATTGAAAAGACAGAGCTTGCCCAAAAGCAAAGAAAGCAATGTGGGGTAGAAACGTGAAGAACATCCACATGAATGGGGCTTGGAGCAACTTGGACTAGTGGAAGGTATCCCTGCCCATGGCAGGGGGTTGGAACTGGATGAGCTTTAAGGTCCCTTCCAACACAAACCAGGCTGGGATTCCATGAAAACATACTTACTCACTAAAGCACTGCCAACACGCTCAGGCTCATGTTCCAAAAGCCCCAAACAATCACGTTTTGTCATGTTCACTGTGCACGTGGCTGGGTCAGAGCGTGGATCTGGATGATGAGCAACGCTCGCTCTCATATAAACCCTCCAGGTCTGTAGCAGTGTCTCTGCCATGTAAAAGCTTCTAATCCCATTGAGGCTAGAGATAAACCTCCTCAGCCCTGTTTCTATACAGTAAATCTCCCCTGTGCTAGGGGATGCTTCACTCTGCTTTCAGTTTTCAGGACCCAACAGTTAATTCCAGGAGCCCTGGCACCCAGGTGCTGTCAGCCCCGGTGACAATCTGCCTTTGGTTCTCATCTCCTCATCCAGCTCAGCTTTATCAACACTCCAAACACAGAAGTAAAGGCACTGTTCCTACCACTGGAAGAGCGGAAGGAGCAGGGGCTGCCAGAGCCTTCCTTCAGATCCCACTGCAATGAGAACAGCAAAAGGTAAACTCCACATTTCACTGCAGGATTCAATTGGCAAAGCTTTCCCTCCCTGCACACAACCTCCTTCAAGTTCTGCAGCTGCAATTCAACCCCCCTTTCGGAGCTCTGAAGGATTTTCCAGCATCTTCAGCCCTGGACACGACCAGAAACGGGTCTATTTTAAACACTGCCTGCTTTAAATGATGGCAAACGTTAACTGCTTCGTGAGCTGAACATTTGTTCCCTTCCTCACAGCACACTCAGCACCAACAAGAGCTTTTTGGCACAAAACCCCAAAAGCTGGGTTCTGCTCCAAGCCTGCTTTGCTCACTTTGGAAACAGTTAAAGGGCATAAGACAGCTCGGTACAGTCACTTTAACAGGTAGAAATACACTCCTTTGGGCATTGCTTATTCCCTGCCAAGTGCATTTGGCCAAGTCTTTAATACACTGAAGTCTGAAAAACTGCTTTTTACGATTATTCTTATTATTTTACATAGTAACAATGGCATCCAGAGCAAGATCTCCACCAGCCAGGGCTGAAAACATTCTTAAAGCACACAAAAAGCTGTGCAAGAGGCTCTGCTAACAGCAACACATCCCCAAAGGGCAGGGAAAAGGGAACTCTGCAGCTTTATTCTCTCTGGAACTCCAGGCACGGAATCCCAGCGTGGTCTGGGCTGGAAGGGACCTTAAAGCAGAGGCACCTTCCACTAGAGCACGCTGCTCCAAGCCCCATCCAACCTGGCCTTGAACACTGCCGGGATGAGGCAGCCACAGCTTTTCTGGGTGTCCCACAACCAGCTTGCATGTCATCCTTAAGGAGCTGAAACATCCTTTTCCTATGGGAGAATGGGAAGGAAACGTCTTTGCAGAGCTCCTCTTGCAGGGCTTTTCAGTGGCTGGGGCTCACAAAGAGAGCTCAGAGCTCTGCAGAGCTGCAGTGGGTAGCACGGCCCGTTGCTGGCAGAGGAGCTTTGTTTATTCATGAACCAGCTTGCAACGGCTGGCACCGCATCTCTACCGCTGCTTTCTCCCCTCACACCAGGGTGGGACATGGGAGCAGCATTCCAGACCGCTGCAGGCTCCCCATGGGATTGCTCCTGCAAGAAGAGCACCAACCGATTCCAATCCCCATGCTGCTCCCCAGGAGCCAAGTCATGGAATGCTTTGGGTTCCGAAGGATCTTAAGCTTATTCAGCTCTAACCCCCTGCCACAGGCAGGGACCCCTTCCACTAGAGCAGGGTGCTCCAAGCCCCTGTGTCCAACCTGGCCTTGAACACTGCCAGGGATGGGGCAGCCACAGCTTCTCTGGGCACCCTGTGCCAGCGCCTCAGCACCCTCCCAGGGAAGAGCTTCTGCCTCATCTCCAACTTGAACTTCCCTTGTTTCAGTGTGAACCCATCACCCCTTTTCTATTGCTCCAGTCCCTGATGCAGGTCCCTCTCCAGCATCCTTGTAGCCCCCTTCAGACACTGGAAGCTGCTCTGAGGTGTAAAATGCATTGCTTTCAGCAAGGAACTTCAATACGTGGCTGCTGTTGCCTGCGAGCTCAGATTTGTGCTTGTCCCAGTATGGCCCAGCAACTCCTGCTCACCTACAGCAGCAAAAGGGTGATGTGGAGGTAGGGAAATCCATCCCAGCCAACTTGGCCTCTCACTGGCAAAGAACTTCAGAGGGAAGAGGTGCAAGCCAGAAAAATCCCACTCTGCTAAAGCCTTAACCTGCACTAAAATCCGGTTCCTCCTGGGTGAAACCACACTGCTGGAGCCGGTTTAGGCGCTGAATTCATCACGTTTCAAAAGCAAATGTCAAACCAAGCCCTACAAAGGCTACTGGAGGCCTGGCTTGTGCAGCAGCACGTGCCCCACCAGGTGTGTGTGGGGAAGGAAAAGGCAAGAAGCCTCTTGGAAGATTGTGAAATTGAACTGCAGAGAAGGAATTAAGCCAAACCCCCACGCGCCAAGACTAATTGCAGCAAAACACGCTCTAAATACCAGCTCTGAGGAGGGAGAACAAACCCCAGTGCATGAACATCAACCACTGGCTTGGAGAGGAACCACTGTGGACACCAGCATCTCCGAGAGCTGTAAATAAGGAAATCCTGGCGTCCTTCAGCATTGCTGTGCTCCATAGCCTGCTCCTGCAGCTTGTCCACCTGTGTGTGCGTGGCTTGGAGGAGGGCTGAGGACATGGAGACAGCCTCAGGCTCCTGTCCCAGTGCTTCTGCTGGCAGAATTAAGGCCACACACTGGTTAAAACCTGACTTTTTTGGATTCAAAGAAGCAGAGAAGGAGCAGAATCAAAAGATTTGCTAAAGACTATGAAGACAGGCGGAGAGCTGGGGTTGTTCAGCCTGGAGAAGGCTCCTTAAGGGGAGACCTTAGAGCAGTTCCGGTGCCTAAAGGGCTACAAGAAACCTGGAGAGGGGCTTTGGACACGGGTCTAAAGGGACAGGACAAGGGGAATGGCTTGAACCTGCCAGAGGGGAGATTGAGCTGAGCTCTTAGGCAGAAGCTCTTCCTTATGAGGGTAGTGGAACACTGGAATAGGCTGAATGGAGCTTTGGCTGCCCCATCCCTGACCGTGTTCAAGGCCAGGTTGGACACAGGGGCTTGGATTAACCTGCTCTAATGTGTTCATGCCCATGGCAGGGCGTTGAAACTGGGTGAACTTTAAGCTCCCTTCAACACAAACCAGTCTGGGATTCTCTGACTTCAAGCGGAACTCACCGGGAATTCCTATGTAGGAATTCATCAGCCAGACAGAAAGATGTGACAGTTATTGTGATGCAAAGGCTGATTAAACCCTCAGGTTTATATACCAAAGGAAGCCAGGCTATAAATGTGCTTTTGTTTCAGTCATTATAGGCAGCTTCCTACACACCTCTGCACAAAACAAAGCCCTTTTCCAGCTCCCCAGGGAAACTCAGCCCCTGGCTTACATCCTTGCTCAGCCTACACAGCATTCACCCTCTGTACTACAAGCTCCTTGAAACCAAAACCAAGAAACTAGATTAAAAGGTGGGGGGAAATACTTAATGAAGTTCTAGGAAGCAACAGGTCCCCAGGTCCATCTGCTCCCAACGTTTCCTCTCCAAACGCCTCGTAGTTGGCTGCTAAATGAGGGAAGAGCAGTTTTGGGGATCTGGCCTCAATTCTTGGTGCTGGGAATGTTGAAGAAAGAAGGGAAAGTCAAAAAAGGCCCTAAGAAGGGGATAAGATAAGGATAAATAAACCCCAACAGGCTGTGAGAAAGCTCCACACATGATGCAGCAGAACATGAGACCGAAACCAAATCCATCCCAGAGATCCTCAGCTACAGACCCCAGCACCACGAGGCTGCCACAACTGGAGCCTTTTACTAAACCAGTTTAAAATGGTTCCATCATCAAGAGGCAGCAGCTGGTTCCGGGTGAGGCTATGCCAGTTCCTCCTGGCTGCCTCACCACATGAAAACAGCCCAAGGAGGATGGAAGGAGGATTTGATTTCTTCCTCCCAACCATCACCCATGCACTTCCTCTCTCAAACTTCCCTATCTTTCCAAGGGGGAGAGGGGAATCTTCTGCCTGCCCCATGCCACGTTCACAAACTCCATTTGAGAACAGTGCTTCCAAGTTAGGCCAGACTAGGAACCATCAACCAGCTTAAAATGAGTAACAGCACTCACAACGTACCAAGGTGGGCTCAGCAAGGCTCAAGAGCAAGTTTGTTTTCACCTAACACCTCCATAAATCACAAAGAGAAGGAAAGAAATCAGAGCACAAAGTGGGAGCTCCATGAGTGGGAACTGATGGAGAAAACTGGGAACTAAGGAACCTTGGGCAACAGAAATGGAAGCAATAAATAGAGGTTAATGTTAGAAGTCCCCCTCAACAAGGAAGAGTTAAGCTACAGCAAAAGACAAATGGCAAGTGGGAGGTTGAGTGTGTTCACCAAGTTTGTGTGAAGCTTTTCCTCCTCCTAATCCGAACAGACAGAGAGCAGGGAGGGGAAGTCCTGCTGCAAAGCACAGCCAGCTCCAAGCTCTTGGGTATCAGAAGGATATTGGCAAATTGGAAGGCATTCAGGAAAATCCAGTGAAGCAGCTGGAGGGATTGATTTACAAGGAAAGATTAAAATAACTGGAGGCCTGGCTTGGCTAAGCAGTGACTGAGGTGGCCATGATGATGTTTTACACTTGGTTAACAGGCAAGTGCCAAAAAGCAGAGGAAGTGTTGAACGTCCCACACTTAGGTAGAACCAAAGCACTGGCAGGTATTTAGGGCAACTTGTGGCTGCATTCAAGCTCTCAAAGCAGTGAGAGGTCTATCGGGTACTAAAATAGCCTCCCACTTCTCACTTCCCAAGCAGCTCCTAGGAGCAGAAAGAACACACTGAGAGAAGCCCAGGAATCCCTACAAGCCTCCCAGGCTGATTCCCAACACACTGCTTCCACCCTGAACCCACATCTCTACTGTTAAGTTTTTAACACCAAGGGCAAACAAGCCCAGCCCACAGAGGGACTGCAGCTGGCAACAGTCACAACCCCACTCCTGCCACCAAAGGTGAACATGATCTCTTGCTTTAAGGAAATGAGGAGCAAGGATGTTAACCCTCCTCGCTTTCCAAACGGGAATCTGGCTGCTCAATCCACCTCCCACAAGCTTCTCCTCCACATTCAAACAGTGAAGTTATTCTTAGGCCCTGCTGAAAAAAAAACCCAATCCAAAAGCATCCAACAAAGCCCGTGGTTGAAAACTACTGCATTCCTCTCCAGAACCAACTCCAGTTTAGGCACCACTCGAAAAGCAGTTTGCAAAGAACCAGCCAGGTCCTTCAGGCCACTCCAGGTGGAAGAAAGTTCCTGCCCCATAAGCACAATAAAAGCAGAGGCAAAATAAACTGGGAAGCTCAATGAAGCATTAGTGACACTTTCCTGTTGTACTCAATGTTAACCTGAAATGTTGGCTTTAGAGGGACCTGAGCTGGGGAAAAAGTGATAACTTCATAAGGAAAAGCAATGATGGGGCTCAGTAAAGAGGCAGCAAATGGGCAAAGGAGAGCAGAACAAGGAGGTTTTGTTGTCACACACACTTCAGCACACACCTGAACTAGCTGATCTCAGCTGAGGGACTCCAAACCAGCACTTCTGGCAGTAGGAACAACCCAGCTTTGAGCTGAGATCCAGCTGCACTCACAGAGCTGGAGCTACCGAGAGGCAGATTGCACTGGGCCAGCAGCAGGTGAGCAAATGCATGGTGAAACCTCATCACTGCAACAAGCTCTGAGAAGTCTGAGCTCTCCCAGTGCCCCAGTAACCACTGATGTGGACTTGGAAAGCAACTACTTCATACTCTGAGTCCTGCTGTTTGCATCTTACTGACAGTACCACAGGAGCCAGTGACCTGCTGAGAGTCCCCCACCTCCCAACACCCTGCAGACCCACAGCCAGGCCCCAGCCTACACCTTACAACCACTCTACACCCCGTCTACACCCCCACCTCACCATACAACCTCTCTACACCCTGTCTACACCCTCACCTCACCCTACAACCTCTCTATACCCTGTCTACACCCCACCTCACCATACAACCTCTCTATACCCTGTCTACACCCCCACCTCACTATACAACCTCTCTATACCCTGTTTACACCCCCACCTCACCCTACAACCTCTCTACACCCTGCCTACAGCTGCTTGCCACTGGGAGCCCCCACACATAGGCCTGCCCCAAAAGAGTCACTGAGCCCAAACCCCTCCTCATCCAGGAGGGCAGAGCCCAGTTAAAGGGGTTCCTCCTGCACCTCAGGGGATCCCCAACAGGATCCATTCCAAGGCTTCTCTAACCCTTAGACCTCCATATCTATCACCCCTTCAGGACACCCCAGGTCTCTTCCGGGTCCCCCAGGACCTGCACACCGAGGGGTGTCCCATATCTGCAACCACCACAGCCCCCCCTCAGTTCTCTGTCATCTTCCAGAGCTCTCTCACCCCTCAAGTCCCCCCCCGCATCCACAGACCCCCAATACCTCTGCAGGGTTCACCCCCACAATTCCATACAAGACCCCCCCCAGTCAATGCCCCCCTTATTTGCACCCCTCCAGCCCTCTCATATCCCCCCCCAAGCCGCCCACCACAGAAACCCTCACCAGACCCCTTCTCTCCTGTCCCCCCACACCCCAAGCACCCCATATCCCGCTGATCCCCCCACACCTCCACCCCCAGCCCCGGAAGCCCCCCATTTTCCGCGTTCTCCCCCCCCCCGCCCCGGGGCCTCCGGTTCCCCCCCTCCGGCACCGCCCGGGCCCCTCGCTGCCTCCAGCAGCCCCGCCCACTCGGGGCGGGGCTTGCTCCATCGCGGCGCCCCCCTCAGCAGCTATTGGCTGCAGCACCCCTCACTCCAGGCCAGGCAGCGAGCCGATTGGCTGGAGGGCGCTGTCAATCAACGAAGGGGAAGAACAAGGCAGAGCGGCCGCCTCACCAAAACTCGGGGAGAGTTGGGGGGGGGCGAGGGCGGGGGGGGAAGGGCCGGCCGGGGGCTCCTCCACCGGCCCCCGGGGGTTCCACTGACCGCCGCCATCCACGTCCCGGGGCGGCCCCACCGAGCCCGGTGCCCCGCCGGTTACCTGAGGGAGCGCCGGGCCGGGCCGCGCCGCCGCCGGGGCCTCCCCGCTGCCTGCCTCTTCGCGCTGGGGCCCCCCCTCCCGCTCCTCACCGCCCCTCCCCACAGAGCGAGACTCTCGCGAGACCAGAGGGGAGGTAACAGTGCCGGACCAATGAGGGGGCTTCGGGGGCGGGGCCTCGCTGCAAAGGGGCGGGGTTTCATCGCGAAGGGGCGGGGCTAAACACGCCTCCGAGAGAGGGGACCCGCCTTGCAGCGGGGACAGCGAGACGGGGACACCCCGGTACCGGGACACCCCGAACCCCGGGGCGGGTGGTGCCCCTGGGCAGGGACACGGGGAGGTGGCAGCCCAGGCCCCAGCCCCAGCAGCTCCCCACTGTCCCTGGGCGTCAGTGATGTCCCTGTCCCCTTGGGGTTCAGGGTGGCTGCAGGCACTTTGTGTGCCCTCCGAGGACACGTCCACCTCGCCACGCCAACCATGGCCAAGTGACACAGGAGGCACCAAAGAGACACAAGGAGCTGGGTCCCGTTATCAAACCGTCTTTATTCCCCTCCCACCTGCGGCAAGGCCAGGGTCGGGGGTCTCCCCTGCCAGGGCACCGGGCACAGCGGGGCTCTGTCACCGTCACTGTCACTGTCACCGTCACCATCTCCATCACATGGCAAAGAGGATAAGGAAAGCCACCATGAGGCAGAAGAGCCCCATGGCCTCGGAGAGGGCGAAGCCCAAGATGGCATAGGAGAAGAGCTGCTGTTTGAGCGAGGGGTTCCTGTGGGGAGAGGAGAGGCCGCTCAGCAGAGCACACCCAGCCCCAAGCCCCCCATCATTCCCACCCCGGTGGCCCCCCCCCCCACCGACCTGGCATAGCCAATGATGAGGCTGCCGAAGACTGTGCCGATGCCAGCACCGGAACCGGCCACCCCCACCGTGGCAGCACCGGCACCGATGAACTTGGCGGCCGTGTCGATGTCCCGGTGGGCTGCGCTCGTCTGGATGGCCCGGTGGGTGCCCGCCGGTGCCTGGGGATGTGACAGGAGGGTTGGCAAGCGGCTGGGGGGGATTAACCTCACCCCAGCCTCAGTTTCCTCCCCACACCCCTCTCAAGGCCGGTGCTCAACACCCCTGTGGCTCCCCACTGTGCCCCAGTCCAAGCTGACCACGTTACCTGCTCCGTCTGGGCTTCAGGGATGCTCAGCACAGAGGCAGAGAGGGGCTGGCACAGCACCCGTGGGCTCCTCCTCACCTGCAAGGGACATTCAGCCTCAGACTGGGGTGGGACATCCCACCCCATCCTCTCCAGCACCCAAGAGTCCCCTGAGGCTACCGCTGTCACCTCTGGTGTGTGTGTCCCCCCCCCAAATATGCTCAGCCCCATGAGCCAGCAGCACCCAGACGGGAGAGCCTGAACTGGCACCCACCACCACAGTGGGTGGATGGGTCCTGTGTGACAATGGGGCCAGCACCCAAAGGGGCTTAAACTCCCAGCACCGCATCCCCCTCCACGGGGGTAATTAACCCTGGAGCGATGACAAATGATCTTTAACCAGAGTGCAGCTCTGTTCACCTTCCAGGGTGGCCCTAAAGCAGCAAGAAGTGTCCCCAAACCTCAGCCCCTGTCTGTAAGGGGGTCATATATCACCCACCCCCCTATCCCCCAAAGAAGGGAGAGGGAAGGAGGGTTTGTCACTACTCACTAGTGCAGGAGTGCAGAGGAACTTTACACAGGCGGACATGGCGAGGGACGGAGGGACACGGGCGCGGAGGGGACGGCTGGAAGAGACACAGGCATGGGGTACACGGGACCTGGCCTCATGGGTGCCGGGGACAGGCAGGGGACATGGGGGACCCGCGGGACAGGAACCATGCGGGGCAGGACATGCCTTGGTCACCCAAGTGACAGCTCCTGGCTCAGCGCCACCACTTTGGGGTACAGGGATTTGGGGTAGAGTGAGGGAATGGCCCCGCAAAACAGGGGGGAGGTTAAAACAGGGGGTGGTCATCCCAAAGGAGGGGGTACCCCAAACAGGGGGTGTTCACCCCAAAACAGGGGGGGACACTCCAGAACAGAGGGAGGCACTCCAGAAAAGAAGATCACCCCAAAACGGGGGTTTCAACCAAAACGTGGGAAGACTAAAACAGGGGGTTCTCACCCCAAAACGGGGGGGATACACTCCAGAAAAGAAGAACACCCTAAAACAGGGGGTTCTCACCCCAAAACGGGGGGGACACACTCCAGAAAATAAGAACACCCCAAAACAGGGGGTTCTCACCCCAAAACGGGGGGGACACACTCCAGAAAAGAAAAACACCCCAAAACAGGAGGTTCTCACCCCAAAACGGGGGGGACACACTCCAGAAAACAAGAACACCCCAAAACAAGGGGTTATTACCCCAAAACAGCGGCTAGTCCCCCAAAATGGGGGGGGTGCACCCCAAAATAGGCTCAGGTCACCTCAGAACACGGGGTTATCACCCAAAGCCGGGGGGCTCACCCCAAACCAGGCCCGGCCCCGCTCACCCCAAAGCAGTGTCTGAGGGGATGCCCCATCCCCAACCGGCTCCCCATGGGGGGGGGTGGCTCGGCCCTGTGCCCAGTATCACCGAGCCCGCTCGCCGCGCGCGCGGGCGCCGCCTGTCGGACGGGAGGTGGCGGAGAGGCACTCACCGGCTCTGCGGGCTCTATTGGAGGGGTACGTGTGTACATGTATGTATATGTGTGTGCATGTATGTATATGTGTGTGCATGTATGTATATGTGTGTGTATGTATGTACATGTGTGTCCACGTGTGTGCGCCCATGTGTGAGCAAGTGTGTCTGCATGTGTGTGTGCATACGTGTTTATGTTATATGTACATGTGTGTACACGTGTGTGTGGTCATGTGTGAGTGCCTACATGTGTGTGTGCACACGTGTTTATGTTATATGTACATGTGTGTACACGTGTGTGCGCCCATGTGTGAGCAAGTGTGTCTACATGTGTGAGTGGACACGTGTTTATGTTATATGTACGTGTGTGTACACGTGTGTGCGCTCATGTGTAAGCAAGTGTGTCTACATGTGTGCATGCACACGTGTTTATGTTGTATGTACGTGTGTACACGTGTGTGTGCTCATGTGTGATCAAGTGTGTCTACGTGTGTGTGCACACGTGTTTATGTTATATGTACGTGTGTGTACACGTGTGTGCGCTCATGTGTGAGCAAGTGTCTACATGTGTGCATGCACACGTGTTTATGTTGTATGTACGTGTGTGTACAAGTGTGTGCGCTCATGTGTGAGCAAGTGTGTCTGCATGTGTGCATGCACACGTGTGTGCATGCGTGTTTATGTTGTATGTACATGTGTGTATGCGTGTGCGTGTTCATGTGTGAGCAACTGTGTGTACACGTGTGTGTGCATGTGCGTACATGTGTGTCTATGTGTGCATGTGTGTACATGTGTGTCTATGTTGTGTGCACATGCGTGTGCGTGCTAGTGGGTGTATATGCCTGTATGTGTGCGCATGCGTGCGCATGTGTGCGCATGTGTGTGCATGTGTGTACATGTGTGTGCTCATGTGTGAGCAAGGGCGTCTGCATGTGTGCGTGCACACGTGTGCGCACACGTGTTTATAGTGTGTGCACGTGTGTGTACACCTGTGTGCTAGTGGGTGTATATGCCTGTACGTGTGTGGGCACATGTGTGTCCATGTGTGCCATGTGTGTGCATGTGTGCACATGTGTGTGCTCATGTGTGAGCACGTGTGTCTACGTGTGTGTGTGCACCCGTGTGCACACACGTTTATGGTGTGTGCACATGTGTGTGCACGTGTGTGTGCTAGTGTGTGTATATGCCTGTACGTGTGTGTGCATGTGTGTACACATGTATGTGCACGTGTGTGTCCATGTGTGTGCTCATGTGTGCGAAAGGGTGTCTACACATGTGTGCGCACATATGTTTATGTTGTGTACATGTGTGTACGCATGTGCGTGCTCGTGTGCGTATATGCCTGTCAGTGTGTGTGCACATGTGTGTCCACGTGTGTCCCTGTGACGCGTGTGCATTCCCACGTGTGTGCACGCGTTGCACAGACGTGTGCACGGTGGCATGTGCGGTGGCTGAGTGTCTGCACATACGTGTGCAAGAAGCATGCGTGTGAAGCTGAGGGGGGCACCGTGTCTCACCCCAGGGTGCTGGGGGGACCCCCGATGGGTGCTGGAGCCCCGGGGAACCTCCCCTTGCCCACGGGGTGGGGGGGGGGCGCTGTGACCGGGTGGGTGCGGGGCCGCGCTGTCAGGCACTGGATTTACGAGCAGCCCTAATGCGGGAGCCCCCATTAATTAAATCATCGCGATAATTAACTTTCATTACAGGAAAATCAATAACGAGGAGACGGGGCTGAAGGGGGGGGGGGAAGGGACCGAGGGGCGCATGTGCACATGGATGTGAGGGTATGTGAATGGCTGTGTGTGCACCCACATGGATGCGAGCACGCCTGTGTGCATGTGTGTGCACATGTGTGTGTACATGTGTGTGTACATGTGTGTACATGTGTATGCACAGGGGGGCACATGGCTGTGAGCACGCCTGTGTGCATGTGTGTGCACATGTGTGTGTACATGTGTGTACATGTGTGTGCACAGGGGGGCACATGGCTGTGAGCACGCCTGTGTGCATGTGCGTGCGTGCACATGGGGGTGCGTGTGTGCATGTGTGTGCGCATGCGTGTGTACATATGTGTGCACGGGGGTGCACATGGCTGTGGGCACGCCTGTGTGCATGTGTGTGCACATGTATGTGTACATGTGTGTGCACAGGGGTGTACATGTCTGTGCGCACGCCTATGTGCATGTGTGTGCACATGTGTGTGTACATGTGTGTACATGTGTGTGCACAGGGGTGCACATGTCTGTGCGCACGCCTGTGTGCATGTGTGTGTGTGCACATCGGGATGCGTGTGTGTGCATGTGTGTGTACGTGTGTGCACATGTGTGTGTACATGTGTGTGCACTGGGGTGCACGTCTGTGCACACGCCTGTGTGCATGTGTGTGAACGCACATCGGGATGCGTGTGTGTGCATGCGTCTGCATGTGTGTGCATGCGTGTGCACATGCATGTGCACGGGCTTGCACACGACTGTGAGCACGCCTGTGTTCCTCTGTGTGTGCGCTTAGGCTGTACGCACAGGCTTTACACTCCACACACGCGTGTGCACATGTGCAAGGCACGTACCCGCACCCCTCAACCTGCCCCCATCCCCCCGAACCCCTTTTTACCCCCTTAAACTCCCCCCTAAACCTCGACACCCCCCCGCTTTCCTCCCCTTTCTCCTTTATTTTTCCTCCTTTCCCCACTTTTTATTCCCTTTCCTTCCCTGATGGAAGCGGCGGCTCCGTTCGCTGCCACTGACCTTAACGGCTTAAATTAAAAAGCAATGTTCTGTGTGCACGGAGATGGGGGGGGGGAAAACATCGGGGGGGGGGCCCCCCCCCCCCCTTCTCCTCCTCCCCCCCCCGCATGGGCTCTGATGGTTTTAATCTCACCGTAATGGCTTTGACCTTGCGATTAATAGCGGGGGGTGCGAAGCCGCCGCGGCGTGACGGCGGCCGCGGTTCCGGGGCGGGGGGGGGGGATCGGGGGGTTTGGGGGGGTCTCACTTTAAGGGGGGGGGTTGAATGCGACGGGGGTGTGGGGGAGGAGTGGGGAATGGGGGGGGATTGGGGGATGCTGAGGATTGAAAGGGGGGGGATGAATGAGGAGGTGATGGAGGGGGGGTGATGGGGAATTTCAAGGGGGACACAAGAGGGTGAATGGCGGGGGGGGGTGGTCCGGGGTCCGGGTGGCTGCTGTGGGGTGCGCCGGTGGGCAAAGGGGGTGTAGGGAGGATGGGGGGGAGCAGTGGAGCATATGGGGGGCTCACGAGGGGGTTCAGGGGGATGGGGCGGGTGGGGATGGAGAGGACGAGGGGGAACCGGTGCCCCTGAGTGGGGGTTACCGGTCCCTGTTCCCGTCCCCATCCCTGTCCCCGCTCCCGGTCCCCGTCTCCGCTCCCGATCCCGGCGCTGGCGCAGTCGCCGCCCGCTCTGCATCCTAATGAGGAGGGAGCGGGACCAGCCCCGAAGAGACCCCGAAACACAGGGATGGGACCGGGATGGGGACCTGGATGGGACCGGGATGGGGACCTGGATGGGACCGGGATAGGGACCTGGATGGGACCTGGGTGGGACCGGGATGGGGACCTGGATGGGACCGGGATGGGACCGGGATGGGAACCAGGATGAGACCGGGATGGGACCGGGATGGGGACCGTTGATGGGACCGGGATGGCGACCGGGATGGGACCGGGATGGGGCCCAGCTGCCCCAACGGAATCCGCCGGGGCCGGTGGTGGAAGGGTGGGGAGGACCCGGGGGGCACAACAGTGCACCCCCCTGAGTGTAAGCACCGGACCTGTTCCCCCCACACAGCTGGATCGGGGCTGCACAGCTGGATCCCAGTGATCCTGGGGGTCAGTTTTACACCTGCAGCTGGATCCTGGGGGGCTTTATCACAGCCACAGCTGGATCATGGGGGGCTCCATCACATCCACAGCTGGATCATGGGGGTCACCATTGCACCCACAACTGCACAGTGGCAGCCAGGACTCCCGTGGGGGCAACCAGGACCGCTGGGGTGGCAACCAGGACCTCTACAGTGGCAATCAGGACCTCTATGGTGGCAGCCAGGATGCCAAGGTGGCAACCGGGACCCCAGGCTTGGCAACCAGAACCCCAAGGTGGCAGCCGGGACCCCCAGGATGGCAACCAGG